AAATCATTTTTGATTTTTTCTATATCTTCTATTCTATGCTTTCCTTTCACTTCTTTCATATTTGTGTTCATTTCGATGGTTTCCACTTTTCTATATTTACCTTTCGATATTTTCCTATTATTTTTTCGACATTTTCCGTCAATCCCATTTTCTTACATTATAAATCTGCATATCATTTAAGTGACAACAGACTTCGATCTTGAAACTAGTTCACCTAAAATTCACCAATTTGAAGTATGATTTATTTTATAGAACTAAGGTGAACCACGATTAATATATGAAAATTCCTTATTTAATTTTAATAAAAAAACACAATCTACAAAATATTGGTCAACTGTTGAATGAGAATGCGGTGTGTACATACATACAAGTATAACAAGTGAACTTATATGTATTAATGGTAGACGTACAGATTCTGTAAATCCAGTGTTAGGACGAAAGAACGAATATTACCTGTCTCTTTTCTTATGAATTAATAAACATACTACTTAACATGCACACAAAAAATAAATCAGCCATTTCGACGTTTTCATTTTCGACATTCTCTAGCAAGACCTAGTCAAATAAAAAAAAAAGACCTGAAGTTACAGCAAGTTTTATTCATTTTCAATCTATTTTAGATTTATTTTTTTAAAAATAAAAAATTCTTCAGATTATATTGGTAAAGGAATTCCGTGATGATTTGCACTATCTTTAAACCAATTTTCGATAGTTCTTTCTTGATCATTATAAATAATATGTCCACCAGGATTTGATAAAACTGCTTGTTGTTTTTGAGCCACATAATAAATATCAGGATAACTTGGATACAATTGCAAAATGTGCTGCAAAACCTGAATAACCTAATTGACCTGGAAATTGATATGGACCAATTTCATTTTCAGTTATTTTTGGTAATTTTACAATTAATTGATTTAATTGTGACCATTCATCAATAGATAATTGCCAACGAGGATTTGGACGACCTGAATAAATATAAATTGTTGCACGTGGTGACATAATATCATCTTGTTCACTCATAATAATAATATTAAATAATGTAAAAATAAATAAAATAGAAAAACTAAATTTCGTCATTTTTTTTATAAGAGAAATGAAAGAATAGAGATAAAGAATATATTTCTTTTATAAAAAACATTTATTGACAAATCTTATCTTTTCCATGTGATTCATTTGAAGATAAAAATTTATGAAGAGTCTTTTCATATCGAATAAGTTGAAGAAAAAAGCCAAAATTCGGTGAAGCAATACGTCGACAATTAACTAAATGATCATAGGCATCAATTAAATTTTCATGATGATATCTAAATAGAAAATATTTAAGGAAATTTTTCTTAATAAATCATCATATTACTTCATAAGATATGCAAGAACAATTGAAGATGAACGAGATATTCCCAATTGACAATGAACGAAAACTTTCTTATGTTTATTTTGACATAAACGTAAAAATTTATTTGTTTGTTAAAAATAATTTTGAATATCTACAGAGTGATCATCATCAATATTGATCCATAAAACATTAAAATTATCAAGAATTTCTTTATTTAATTCAATTTCACAAATATTTAAAATATGTTTTATTCCAATTTCATTTAATAAATTCCAATTTTTTGCATGTCCAACATGACCATGATAGAGAAAATTATCAACTATTGTTGATGGTAATCGAACATTTGGTTTTCTTTTTAGTATTCCTCGATCTTTTGTTTTTGTATTATATAAACGTTTAATATAATCAATTTCATCACTTGTTGCTTGTAAATCATTTGTTAAATAATATTCCATTTTATCAATCATCGATACATCTGTTCCTATATAATTACTTGCCATGATTTGTTTTGTCTTCAAATGAATATCATCATATCTTGAGGGTGGGTGGGTGTGGGTGTGGAGGGATGTAAATAAAGAAGATACATATACTCGCACCCACATCCACTGGCAACCAACTATGGATTAATTATTCTCATTTATTGTTCAAATATAAAAAAATGAAATAAAAAATATTGTACCTCTTTTTATTTCTCAAATAATTTCTAATTGTATGCTTGATGCAAAATATTCAATCTATAGAGAATGATTCTCTTATATGAATATATAAATGCAGATGCTTGCTATGAAGCGAATGCGTTTTCACATAGTCTGATGTTTGTTTTGCTTGTATTCCAAATGAGATTAAAATCCGACACAATTTATCATACTTACAGTAAAATCTAAAAGATATACTTCTTACTATACAAATTTTTAGAACTTCAATCATAATTGGATATTTTCTAGAAGATCTCAAAATTTTCATTCTATCTGGACGAAAATCGTATCTTGATTTTTCTTGCAGGAGCGCCTGTTAAGTTTTATGAATATATAATTTCAACCTGAACTTTTCTTTAAAACTTATTATTTCAGATCGATTTCATTTGCAATGAACAACGTTGATTGGTATGTTATGTTTTTTAGTAGCTTAATATAAATATACTTGTCATTCAATTTTATCCATCTGAACAGTAGATTGTACATGCTGTATGAGCATCCCATTCTCAAATGAGTCTCAGCTTTTTTTTATTAATAACTGAGATTAACATTATTTTTACCATGTGAATAAATGTATTCATTAAAATATATTTTTAACAACGATATTTTTTCAAATGGGCAAATAAAATATCACATTCGAACAGCTAGTCCTTCATAGTTTTTGCAATATGAATTCCTCTCAGCGATTCCTTTCAGTCGAGAGTCAGCGATGCTATCATCGCGTTACCATTCCTAATAATAAATAGCTTGTTTTTCGTTTAAACGACGTAAAGGTTCTTGTTTATATCGTTTTTGTTGTTTTTCTTTTAAACGACGTAAAGCTTCTTGTTCATATCGTTTTTGTTGTTGTTCTCGAATTTTTTTCATATGTTCACTTCGATGTATTGCTTCATCTTTTTAAAAGAAAAAAATTCATTGCTTTTTTTATGATTAATTGGAATTTACCTGTTGAAATTGGACTTTCTCGCTGTGGATTTCGTTTTTTAGAATAAATCCAAATTACAATCAATAAAACAAATAAAATTAAATTAGAAACATTTTTTTGTACATGCTGAGGAGCACTTTCATAAGCACTTTCATGAGCATATTGATGAGCATGTTGATGGGAATATTGATGAGCACGTTCATAAGCTTGACGACGAGCCTTATGAAAAGCCTCAAACTCTTCGAAGAAATCGTGCATCTTAGAATCGAAATCAGAAAAGCCATCTCGATTTGATGAGGAAGAGGTAAATGATTGATGACGTTGCGCATCATATTGCCGACGTTTATCTGGATTACTTAATACATCACATGCTTCCGCTATAGAACAAAATGTTTCTTCGGCTTTGGGATCTTTATTTTTATCAGGATGGTATTTTATAGCTATATAACAAAATAGAATTTTGATTTCATAGAAAACATGTAGTATATATAAAATACCTAATTGACGGAATTTGCGTTTAATTTCTTTTTCAGTTGCATTTGGTTTGACTCCTAAGATTTTATAATAATCTGTAGCTGTTACTCCAACTGTATAGATAATTAAAATAATAAATCGTGTCCATGTATTGACATCCATTTGGTGCTAATGATTATCGGTTATGGTAGCAGCGTTTTTAATAGAAATCTAAAGCAAAGGGACATTTGGTACTTTACTTTTTAAGGTAAAGTATTTGTCACGTCTTGATATTGAATAAAATACGATCTTCGGAAAAGATATCTTAATTGAAGAAGAAAACGAAAGAAACAGCAGATAGAGAGAACGAGCGATGAAAAGATATATGAAGATATATATATATAACGCATATATACAACGACAGCTATATATATGTGTATATGTTAGATAGAACCATAACAGAAAAGGGAAAAACACCATGACACACTGTTAGAAGATATGGATAATTCCATTATCATACTCTGTTAGATGATATGGATTATTCCACTATCTTACAGTACCACAAAGTATCATAAGTAAAAAAATTCTATGAAAATACGAGAGAATGCTATTTTTACTCTTTTCTTTGTAATAAAAAATATGCTCATACAAAAAAAAAACAATACAAAATATCAATATGATCTCATAAATTAGGAGAAAGACGAAAATATATTCATAATTAAAATAAAGTGAATACTGTTATTGCTTCTTTTTATTCTTTATTACTCTTCTTTCGTAAAACAAGAATCATCCTTCTCTTCGCAATATTCACTTCTTAAATAATCAACGCTATCAGTAGTACATGAGGAAATGAAAGAGAATTAGCATTCTTTATGGCAGGTGATATATCATGCTATAATACTTCCTCTTTCCACCGATAGAAAAAAAAAGAAAAAATAATATGACAGAACGAAAACATCAGAAAAAACGATTAAACTAAAGAGTCCATAAAGTTTATGCCACGACATTTGCGCGCCGACACTTACGCACACGACGCTTGCGCTTAAATTTTTTTTCTGTTCTGCTCTCGTCTGATAGAATTACTCATACGTATTAACAGAAATAAAAATGTTCTGTTGGTGAGGTTGGTTTACACGATAGTGGAAGATGGCGTGAAATATAGTCCCTAGTAGTATTGTTGGCACCTTTACGATATTTAACTTCGATGATTTGCGGTATAAGCTCTTGTAATTTTAATAACCAATTCATAACACGTTTATTATTAATCTGTTTATAATGGGAATTTTCCAGTGGCTTATAATCAGTTTCGATAGTAACGTGAACATTATCGATATATGATCGTAATTTTGTAATACACCAGTAAATAGCCAATGCTTCTTATTCAAAAGTTTTATATTTCTGTTCAGTATCAGCCAACACGCTTGACGTGAAATAATTGATTCTAGTACCAGTACGAGTATTTTTCTATCAAATACCGCCAATATCAATGTGAGACGCATCAGTAGTTAGAATGAATGGTGTTGTTACACTAGGATATTCAAAAAAATAATGGAGAAGTTGTCAGTAAATGTTTAAACGTTTCAAATGTATTTTGTTGGTCAATATGCCTGAAGAACTCCTGCTTGTGTGGCTTTGTTTTATTTGTAACTTTGTACAATGAAGCAGTAACTTGAGCGAAAGTCGGAATAAATTTACGATACTAATTGATTTTGCCTAAAAATGCATTAGCATTTTTTAATGTTGTGGGTGAAGGTAAGTGAGCAATTGCTGTTATCATCTCACTGATAGGCTTGATACATTGTTCATTTATAGTATGACTTAGAAAATTAATTTCATTGACACCAGTGATACATTTGTCCGCATTTACTTGAAAGCGAGCTTTAGTTAGTAACGATAATAAGTTACGTAGTTGATTACGAGGCTCACCAAATGTGCGAGAAAAAATTAAAATATCATCTAAATAAACAAGTACATAGTCCCAGCGCCCATTTCCGAGTAAATTGTGCATGGTACGTTGAAAAGTGGAAGGGTCGTTCATCACACCTTGAGGGAGTACGTTAAATTCATACAGTCCATCTTGTGTTATAAACGCTGTCTTCCCTTTATCGGTTTCATGTATCGGTAATTGGAAATATCCGGATTTCAGATCGAGTTTAGAATAAAAACGATGACCACCCAATCGCTGTAGTAATTCTTCTATGGCAGGACGGTGAAATGAATCCTTTCTGGTTATTGCGTTCAATTTTCTATAATCACCTAAAAACGAAGACCACCGTTTTTCTTTTTGTAAATGATCACTGGAGATGCCCAGGGAGAAGTGAAAGGTCCAATTTGACGAATCACAAGCATCTTTTTAAATTTCTGTCTGAAGCACAAGGCGTTGTTAAATAGTTTTCGAGTATGGGCGTGAACTAATTAGAAAATTATCTTCAGTGTTAATAGTATGATAAATAAGTATTTTATCTTGAGATATAATAGATAAATCGAATACTGTCGCATATTGTTGAAGTACACCGCGGATTCGATTTTGATTAGAGTGATTGGGAATATGAGTGATTAATATTTCTATCACTTGTTGGAGCAACGACGTTTTATGATCGGGATAAGCGATTGGAGTTCGAAACGAATTTTTCTGTCCGATGTCCGAAAAAAAGGAAGGACGAAAAGGGATTACCTCTCAAGGATGTAGATATGGTTATTGCAAAAATGGACGTAATTACATCTACTCACACACACCTAAAAACGTTTATTATCATTTAGCAAAAAGCTCAAAGTCTATAGAATATTTTATCAACAACTTCGATGAAGGATAGTCGGCAGTCATGATCCAAAGAAAATCGAGTAACAAAATTTATATTATCCTCTCAAAACATGGTTCAAATCCTCTTCTTTTCTACAGATCTTCTATATTTTTAAAACTTCTCCTCTAACTCTTATGAAATAATTCCATACCTTCGATTGTGTTTTAGTATGTCGTCCTTGTTTTGAAAAAGAATGAAAAGCTAAACGGCAACCGTCTTCTTATATACAATCTTTCTTTATCTTTTTATTTTAACTTTGAAATTGATATGTTTATCTTTTTTCTTCATGTTATGATAGGTATATATTATATTTCATTTATAATAAAGAAGAAGAATATCTTCAAAAAATAGCTGGGTGTGTGTGGGTGTATGTATAAGCATCATAATCATATAATATCCATGCCCTCACTCACATCCACACCTACTCACACATTTACTTCTTTTATTTTTATTTTTAACGTTAGAAAAGTATTGAACAGTAGTCTAGTGCAAACCTAAAATTGACTTCATAATAGGATTAAGTTCATCATCCCTTGTGTCAACTAATTGTTCTTGGAAAAATTGTTGAAATGTCCGTATTAACATTTGCGTTTGAAGTATTCTTTGTATCAATTGTGAATATTGGCGTGCTGCTTGATAATAAGTAGAATATTTTTTAATCATATAGCGAAAAAGTAGGCTCGCATAGATTGATTGTGCTTCATCAACTTGTTTGCTATTCATAAAGGTTGACTGTTCGTTTTCTACAATATTTTCAACTGAGAGACTTTTGGTAAATGTCAATATAATCAGCATCAATTGCAAAATAATTGGATCATCGTCAGTGACATTCTTGATCGAACGAAACAGTTGAGTTGATGCTGAATCCAATTGTTTTCCAAAGCAATACTGCGATAGTTGTTTGCAAACGATAGCATATTCTTCGCTTTGAACTTCCGGATCAAATACAAGATCTCTATCGATATCGTAACATAGACATATACGCATGTAAAGTACCAAAGGAGAATTGTATTTAAATAATATAAAACGATCTTGTTCATTAAGAAATTCAAATTCAGGAATACTCCGAATGAATGTAATGAGTTTCATACCAAGATCATACAAGAGTGAAGTTGAATAAAGTAAACCCGAACGTCGATCGCTTATATGGTCGAAAGCAGATATACCCTGTTTGGTTGTTGTGAGTCGAAAAGCTATGTCGTAGGAGAGTTTAACTGAGTTGAGACGATTGTAGTCGTCAAGAGTGAGGGAAACGTTTTGTGGGAGTGGCATAATTTGTTGAATAAGAGGTAATTGAGTAGTTTCAAGCTGTTCTATAGTAGACTCCTTAAATAACAAATATAGACAACATAAAAATACGTAGAATTTTGTTGTTTTAACTTGATACATCTCGCGCTCTTCCTCCTTTCATTCTGACATGAATATGTTATGCTAAATTCTCTATAAAAAATGTTGACAAGCTGGAGATTTTTGCTGTTGAAATCACTAGTGCTGAAACTAGATGAAAAAATGATTTTCTTCATTCTTGAAATAAATCGATTGTGTGAAGTGGTAAATTTCTTATAAGCTAACTTACTCATATTTTTTAGCTGATTCTTCTAAAACTTGTAATTTTTTACTTAGAAAACGCTTCCGAATATAAAATCGATAGTATTTTTATTGGGTCTGCTCATAAAGTATCGTAAGAATGACTTACTTTTTGTGGCTCTAACACTATAGTTGGCTCGTTCATCAAATGGTCATTATCCTCAAGAGAAACATTTATAAAACTTGTCTGCGTAAGAGTACTAATTGTATTGTTAGTTAATCGTCTGTTTTCTTCTAGCTGTCGCTGTTTGTTTAACTTTTCGTTCGCAGAAGAACTCCATTTCATACCTATGGAATCGAGTAAAATATACAGTTTTATTATGTTCATCTTTGAATTATAAGAGAGTTTCGCACTTACCAACTGACAAACACTTCTCAAGTCGACAACGTCTACACATTCGACGTCTATTTTTAAATTTTATATCGCACTTGTTAGTATTAGTTAAACATTTTAGATCGTTCTACAAAAAGAAGACGACAGAATTATAAAAATTAGTAAGATAATTACATGATCGCTAGCAATTTACCACATTATGAGAGGCATTTCTATGGAAGAAAGATTTACATGATTCACAGGAAATTACATTGAAATTGTACCCAGAACATTTATCATCACATATTACACAAGTTAAATCTGTTTTACGACGTTTATATGATACTTTTGTTGTGTTTTCAGTAGATTCAGGGATCTGGAAAATATATCATTGTAGTTGATATTGTACACATGTGATTTCAAAACACTTACAATACTTCTTGTTATACCAGATAATTCACCACAGTTCTCTGATTTTTGAATAATAGAGAGAAGATTTTGAAATGTTTCATCATTTCCTGTAATAACGATTAAATTAGTCTTCTGATTTTTGGTAACGCTGTTGTTGGTAGCCATTTTCCTTCAACGAATAAATTTTGATTATTCTCTTTTCTTTCGTGTTTTTTTACGAACACAGCACGAAAGCGATGAAAAAAATTGCGTACCACGTTTTACCGGAGCTTGTGAGTATTTTTTTTCTGTCTTTATCAGTGACAAATAAAAAGAAAGACAAATGATGAAACGTTGTTTTTTCTTTTCTGTTCTATTCTGTTTTATTCTGGGCACGTATTCTGAGGACGTATTTTGTGCACGTATTCTGCGGACGTATCCTATGCTCGTGTTTTGGACACGTATTCTGTGCTCGTATTCTGCGTACGTATTCTGTGCACGTACCTTTTTGCACTAAGGAGATTTGTATGCCACGTACAGATAGAATGAAAAAACTTGCGATATATAAAAAGGTAACGAAATTCATTGTATTCAATAAAGCAACGAAGAAGTACTTACAATCAATTTTTGATCAACAGAGCATTAAGTAAGTTGTATTTAGAGATTGTCGACAGAATATTGGCTTTGATTTGTACACAGTTATCATGAGCAAATTAATTCCACAACCTCAACCAACGTTTTTGATTGGAAATTTGAAAGAGATAGATTCTACTCATGGTTTAGAGTCTCTGAAAAGATTGCACAAACTGTACGGTGATATTTATCGATTGACCTTTTTTAACAAAAGTTTTGTGGTAGTTTGTAGTCAAGAAATTGTTAACTTTGTATGTGACGAAACAAAATTCGATAAAAATGTTAGTCAAGCTCTAGAAGAATTGAGAGCTGCAGCTGGCGATGGACTCTTTACTGCACATACGTCAGAACCAAATTGGAAACTTGCTCATAAAATCTTAATGCCTGCTTTTGGACCACAAGCCATTCGAGATATGTTTCCAGCTATGATGGATATATGTACACAACTTATTCTTCGATGGGAACGATTTGCTGGGGAAGAAATTGATGTTTGCGATAATTTGACTCGTTTGACGTTGGATACTATTGCTTTATGCAGTTTCAATTATCGATTCAATAGTTTCTATCATAATACAATGCATCGTTTTGTTGATGCTATGATAAATGTTCTTATTGAAAGTGGTAAACGTGTTGGACGATTTTCTTTGCAAAATACACTGATGATGACAACTGCGCGTCGCTACAAGAATGATGTTGAATATATTCACAATCTATGCGATGAAATTGTTCAAGAACGTCGTAAAAATCCAAATGATGTTAATGATTTACTTAATCGAATGATTAATGGTAAAGATCCAGAAACTGGTTATCAATTATCTGATGAAAATATTCGTTATCAAATGTTTACTTTTTTGGTTGCCGGACATGAAACAACATCTGGACTTCTTTCATTTACATTATATTATCTTCTAAAAAATCCACGTGCGTTACAAAAAGCACAAGCAGAAGTCGATCTATATAATGAAATTACAGTTGATACATTAGGCAAATTAAAATATATCGATGCAGTATTAAAAGAAACACTTCGTTTACAACCTACAGCACCAGGATTTAGTTTAGAATCGAAGATAGGTGATATCATGCTTCCAGGTGGTTACATAGTTGACAAAGACGATATGATATTTGTTCTTTTGTCTGGATTACATCGTGATCCAAAAGTATGGGACCAACCAGAAGAATTTATTCCAGAACGAATGCTCAATGGTGGATTTGAAAAACTTCCACCAAATTTATGGAAACCATTTGGTAATGGGCAACGTGCTTGTATCGGTCGACCTTTTGCATGGCAGGAGAGTCTTCTTGCTATTGCCCTTATACTTAAACATTTTAATATTGAATTTGTTGATCCATCGTATGATCTTCGTATTAAAGAAACCTTAACAATCAAACCAGATGGTTTTAAAATACGAGTTCGACCACGTCAACAAATAGGATTTCTACTTAATACAAATGTCAAACAATCAGAAAAAATACCAGAAAAAACAAAACAACAAATTGATAGAGAACATCTTCGACCAATGTGTATTCTTTTTGGTAGTAATTCTGGTTCTTGTCAATCTTTTGCAGATACATTAGCATCTGAAGCACCTCTCTATGGTTATAATGCAACAGTAGCGAATCTCGATTCTTCTATTGGATGTCTTCCAAATGATCGACCTATTATAATAATAACTGCTTCATATGAAGGTAAACCATGCGACAATGCCAAACAATTTGTCGCTTATCTTGAATCAAAACCAAAATTAGAAATCAATTATGCTGTATTTGGAGCTGGTCATCATGATTGGATTGATACGTATCAAAAAGTTCCAACTTATATTGATCAGATGATTGAAAACATGGGTGGTAAACGAATTATTGAACGTGGTGTTGGTGATGCTGCAGGTGATTTTTTTGGTGCATTTGAAAGTTGGAAAGAAAATCTATTTCGAGCATTACGAAAAGATACTGGGGATCAAAATGTGTTTAGTAATGAAAAACTTTCAATCGAAATTGTCAATTCAAGTAGACATCTTGGGCAAATAACAGATTTTGGTGTTGCTTTACAAAATAAAATTTTAGTTGACGCAAATGAAATTGGACCTATGAAACGACATTTGGAAATACAATTACCAAAAGGACAAACTTATCGTACTGGAGATTATCTTTCTGTTTTACCAACAAATCCAATTGAAATTGTTTCTCGAGTTCTTAAACAATTTCATTTATCTGGTGATACTCATATTAAAATTAATTCTTCGACGAATACATTCTTTCCAACAAATTATCCAGTTAGTGCATTTGATATTTTAATTGGTTATGTTGAGTTAGCTCAACCAATCAGTAAAAAGCAAATTGAAATTCTTGCTGGATTATGTAAAAATGAAACAGAACAAATACGCCTTACAAATCTTGCTGGAGATGAATATGAAAAAGAAATTCTTGGTAAACGAATAACTATTTTGGATATTCTTGAATTATATCCATCATGCAAACTTTCATTTGCACAATATCTTCGAATGCTTCCATCACTTCGTGTTCGTCAATATAGTATTTCGTCATCATCTTTGTGGAATTCTGAAGTTGTAACAATAACATGGGATATACTCAATAGACCATCATTAAGTGGAATTGGACAATATTATGGTGTTGCATCGAATTATCTTGCAAATCTCAAAGAAGGTGATCATATTAGTTGTAGTGTTCGAGCAAGTAATGTTAAATTCCATCCACCTGAAGATACAACAATACCTATTGTTATGATAGCTGCTGGAACTGGAATTGCACCATTTCGTGGATTTATTCAAGAAAGAGCAGCTCAATTCGTATGTGGAAGAGATATTGGACGAACAATTCTTTATTATGGATGTCGAGCAAATGAAGATTTTTTGTATTCAGATGAATTAGATAAGTGGTCAAAATTTGGTGCAATAGAAGTCAAATCTATTTTCTCTCGTGAAAAAAATGATGATAAAAAATATGTTCAAGATTTACTTTGGGAAGATCGAAATGAGATTGCTAAATTGTATTCCAATGGTGCACGATTTTATACATGTGGTAGTGCTAACAAATTAGGTACATCAGTGAAAACATGTTTTATCAAGATCATTGCAGAAGCTAAACAATGTAATGGAGATGAAGCAGGAAAAATTCTTGAAGAAATTTCACTTGATCGATATAGTGTCGATGTTTTTACATAAAATTATATTTATTTCAAACTTTTTTGAGTTGTAACTTATAGATTCTTAATAAATATTTTCATGTGAATATTCATGTATGACATCTTGAGGGTGGGTGGCTAGAGTGTAGAATGTGAGTGTGGGTATAGATCCCTAAAAAACTGATTATCAATTCATTTTTCTTTGATTAATAATTATCAATCCATACTAACCTCAATGGATAACGATCGAATACAGTTGGTGAGATTACCTCGGCAGAATGACAATCGATGCAACTGCTGTCATTGGAACAAGAGCATCAACAGTAGGAACAATATGATGTAAAAACCTTTCGATGGAATCTAATTTTGGTTGATCTTCTTCTTTCTAAACAAATATTTCATCGAAATAGATTTTAATAATGGTTCAAAACAAGATTATTTACCATTGACATTATCCTTTATTATGATGTTAATGCGAAAAGAAAAATATTTAAATTTTAGATTTGGATATCTAGTACGTGATCTGATTAAATGAAGCGTGATGAAAAGTACCAATCAAAGATAAATGCAGACATGGTAGTGATATGTAAAATGAGAGTGAACGCACGAGGAAAAAAAATACTATGGTGATAGACTATAATCTAGTATCTATGATACGTATTTTTTTTCAACATAAAATGAGTCCCAACGAAAGATGGCACCAGCATAAAGACTCATGTGTAGATGACGCACGTATTGTTTTTTTTTATTTTAGTTTGTAAGAAAGATACGAGATTAGATATTTTGAATCTCATTATTGAGATCGGATTGGTTTGTAAATATTGATACTATTTTTTGACTAAAAAATAATTCTGTTTTCAAAGGATTAAAAGTGAAGATAAATTATTAGAATATGTTTCTTTATTATTTATTAAGGGTAGGTGTGGGTGCGGGGTATAGGCATCACATTAATATCACATTCACACCCACACTCTCAACGATAACCTTTTATAAACCCATGCTTTATGACTCTGATACACATATACATATAACCCTTCCTAATTGCGCGAATATTCTTTTAGATTTGATTGAAGAATTATGTCTTTAGCAGAAGTAATTAAAAATTGGACACCATCACCATCTGCATCTAAATAGTTAAAACTTTTTTAAAAAAAAAATCATTTTTTTTGTCTTTACTATTTGCACAGGTAAAATGTGAATAGATAATCCGATCACTATTTGAATTGAGATCGACATACATTTTAAGGATAAATTCTCGTGCAGCTTGTGCATCACGTTTAGGACCTAGAATAGAAAATTGAATTTTTTGAGTTATTAAATCAATAAATTTTACCATCAAATTCTGGAAAATAATCGACCAAATGTGAATACATGATTTTTTCTTCGAGTAAATCTTTTTTGTTCAAAAAAAGAATCACAGGAAACTTCATATACCATCGATTAGTTACAATTGTACGAAATAATGCTATACTCTCTTCCATTTGATTCTAAATTTTAGTTTTTTTATTTAAAAACAAAACATTCGTTTTATTTACTTCATTGTCAGACTCAACAAGAACATGATCATATTCATCTAATGCGGCAAGAAATAGTATTGCAAAGGCATTATCAAAGTAACGAATCCACTTTCGATGTTCTGATCTTCGTGCACCATTTTTAATAATTCTATTTTAATAAATGAACTTATTTTTTATTAAAAGTATTTTTTTTATTTACCGGAAAGTAATATTTTCAAAATCAAATAAATATTCAGTAATTCCATTAATAAGGATTCGAGCACATAGGATATCCTGTTCAGTTGATAAATAATCTGGCGCAGCAATTCGATCGATGCTATCCAAGTAACTTAACATGAAGAATTCTTTGATTTATTTATTTTATTAAGAAAACTGATTTTTACTATTTAGCTGAATCTATTAATTGATATTCTCTTCGTCTATCATAGCACTCTTTTATTCCTGGATCACTCCAAAGACTTTTAATAGCTTCAACATATTGAGGTTCTAATATTGTCACAGTTGTATAATCAACTGAACGGACAAGTGCAGCATGTTTTTGTTAAAACAATTAACCAAAAAAAACAAATGAGAATAGATAAAATATAAATCTAACCTCATTGTTTTTATCTCTGTATTGTATTTTGAGCGTATCCATAGCATGAATCATTGATTGCATTGCCATGAATATATTTTGATAAACAAATTTAACAAATGAACGTTTATCTTCTTCGGAATAACCTGTACCATAAATAATACGCATTTGTTTCATAAGTGTTGATTTACCAGATCCTTCGGCATCTATTTAAGAAAAAAAAATTTGTCTATTTTGAAACAAAATAACAAATCGAAGTTTTGTACCAAATAACAGGAATATTAATTCTCGTCGTTGATTTTTTTTATCAAGAAGTAATTGTTTTTCAATTTCTCGATTCCTTTGTTTCTGTTCACGTGCTTTAGCAGACAAACAACACATCATCTTGATGAAGTTTTTTCTCTTTGTAAATATTTAATAATTTCGAGATCCAATGAATACGAACGATGATAGTAATAATAACAATCTTTATTTAAATAGGATGTCGTTTTCAAACGTCGTACAATAAACTAAACACATCATATAATGATACTAATTTTAACTGCTTTTAACGTTCTTTGCTCGTCTTTTTATATGTATCGACTGTCCTTCGCCATACACAGCGATAGACAGTGTGCATAGACAAGGTCTGAGCGCAAGAGACATGAAGGATAACATAATATATACATAATGAATAGATCAACGAAATATTTGGAGGATAGATAAACAGCATCTAACAAGGATGGATAAATAAAATATATGGACATGAGGCTAAGCACTACCCAGGTTAACCAGTCTTATCCTGCAGATTCCTATAGTTTTTTATCGGATTTCTGGTGACGGGATCACATTGGATTCCGTAGGATTACAGATTCGGTCTGATCCTTTTAACTTAAACCGTTGATATCCGATAGTAGGTTACCGATCGGATCCTAGGAACTTCAACCAACAAAATCCGATATTAATATTAAAACGACTATTGCGACAAATAAAAACGAAGTGTTACATGTACGCTAAGCACTATACCAGTACTATTTAAGGATGTGGGTGCAATTACAGGCATCTCTCACAACCGTATCTATATCCAACATCCACACCCATTCACCCACACCCTTATCGGGACTTTTTCTAGATAGAAAAAAATTTATGAAACAATTTAAACGAGCATCATATTTCATGACATGTTTGAGATAGCTTGTGATTTCTCATCAAACGAGTATCATATTTTCAAAGTCTGTACGTGTTACTAAAGCTGACGAGATTAAAGCAAATCAAAACACGTTCGTCAATAATCTCTATGTGTGTGATAGATATTAAAATGCATGTCAGACAAAAAAAGAGTAATACAAAGATAGACGATGATTTATCTAATAGTTTTAATGCTATGGCCAATGGTTTATACGAGTTTGAATCTATATGAAACAGATCGAAAGGTCGGTAATGGACAATTACAATTTGATTGCTTGTATTATCATGTAGCTAATTGGACAGATTCTTATGAGTTGCTACGGACTAATACAAGTCAGATTCTTAAGTATTGTCGTCGTCCTCTGAATGAAACCAGTATACTGCGTCTTGGTTTTCCCAATCAACATCAACATATTAAAAACTATACATTTAAACAATTGCGTCAGTCAAATATTACTATTGATCAACTAATTTCATGGAACGCTCCCGTGGATCTTGCTGAACGATATTTCCTTTACATTGAACAATCGACCATTGATGATCCATCATCAAAAGAAATATTCTATCGATGCAAAGATCCGTGGTTTGGTCTTCGATGTGAGTACGCGGCTGCTCATATATTAATCGACACAGATGATCACCCTAAGGAAAGTTTCTACAGGACAAATGACTGGTATGTTAAAGACATGATTAATACTAACAGAGAGTCATCATGTTATGTTCATTTGACATGTGATCGCGGATCACCTATGTGTCTTGATTGGCGTGAAATATGCAATGGTCAAATCGATTGTATTGATGACGGTGCCGATGAAGCACAATGTTTCCTTCTAGAAATAAACGAATGTGCTGATGATGAATATCGATGTCATAATGGCTTGTGTATTCCCTTAGATTTCTACAAAGATGACGAACAACATCCAGATTGTCTCGATCGTTCTGATGAGCCAACTAGTAGATCATCGTTTAGCTTTTGTTCCAAAGACCCAAGATTTCGATGCGAAGATCAAGTTTGTCGATCCAATGACATGAGCTTTTCTTGTGCTGATGGACAGTGTGTTAATAATTTTAAGAAGTCATGTGTAAATGGACGAAACAACTTAGTAAAAACAGCCATGAAAGCAAAAGGAAATTTGTCTCACAGTTGTTCGTTATTTATGATTTGTCATACGCTAATGATCGATAAGATTAATGGAGAATCATGTGCAAATCTGTCTGTTTTATCGAACGCCAATAACTCTGATCTGTTCATTTGTGAATCATTATTTCAATTTCCAACTATTCCTGTCCTCTATGGACATGTACGTTTTCTGTACGATAACAATCAATCGAAACTAATACAAGCGGGCATAAATCTTATACTCCCTGATTACATTTGTTATGACGCACAGTTATGTGATTTTATTTCATCCACATTTCATTATCAAAATTTAACTTGTCGCCATCGTCAACAAATACCCGTAAATGCTGATCTTGGTTATGATGAGTTTTTACTATCTTTAAGCAATTATTTTCGTCCTTGTGCAGCTCCGTATATAATGTCCAATGATGAACAATACAGACAACATTCATCGCTCTATTGCTGCAAGAATTCATCAAAATGTATTTCGAAACATCGTCTCATGGATCGTGTACGAGATTGTTCGATGGGCGATGATGAAAACTATAAACTGAGCTGTTCTTTACAAGATATGCATCGTTTCAAATGCTCCGATCAAGATACAACGTGTTGGTCGCCATCAGTCGATCCTAATTCTTGCACTGTATTTAACCAGAAACTAAACTTAAATAAAATACTTTTCCAAAACATTTGTGATGGAGTTGTTCATCTTTTACCTCAAGAAATCGATGGACAAAGTCATAGTGATGAAACAGAATGTCAGCATTGGCCATGTAGTAACATCTACACGAGATGTGACAGTTTTAAGGCTTGTCCGGATGGTCACGACGAGTATGATTGTCTGGACACTAAGTGTCCTTTAAATCTTTATCCATGTATCTCACCCATAAATTATACAATAATCTGTTTATTAATGGATCAAGTCGCTGATAATATTATCGATTGTCTTGGAGCAACAGATGAACTTCAGTATTGTTACATATCGCATGTCGACGCAAATGATCACTGCTGGAACGTTACTGATTGCATATCTCCTGATCAATTATGTGATCACTTCAGAAGTTGTCCTTCACCGGTTCATGAAAACTTTTGTCATAAGAAGATATGTCTGGATAGTTTGGATAGTATTGATGAAGCAAGAGAGATATTCTGTCCATTAGCAGAGAACAAAAACGCAATTGAATACTTCTCACTGAAGACCGCTCGCATCTATCCTCTATTAGAAGAATCTCTTTCTGCTGTTCAATTCAATCAACAGCAAGTCAAACATCAGTCTTTTATGAAAAACACTCAGTTTATCCCCGAGACCATAGGATGGATACGTCATTGTCCTCATGGACTGAGTGTTGTTGCCTGGCAAGGTGGTGACACCCTCATCAACCAATGCTTTTGTCCACCAAATTACTATGGTGATCTATGTGAGTATCAAAATCAACGCGTTAGTTTGACATTGCGTTTGCTGCCTGTTAGTCGACGCAGTTTTTATGCGTTTGTGGTGTTGTTGATTGATGAATATGGTCAGGTTAACTCTTACGATCAGTTTTCATTCATAACCAAAACAGGTTGCTTGAAGAAATTCAATATCTATCTGTTGTATTCCACTCGACCTAAAGATATATCGAAGAACTACAGCATACATATCGATGTCTTTGACAAATATACACTAACATACCATGCGAGTTGGCATCTATTGATTCCATTTAGTTTTCTACCCGTGAATCGGATAGCTACAAATCTGATTATACCATTTCAAAGCACTCGAAGTTTCAAAACTTGTCATTTGATATGTAAGAACGGCGGCGAATGCATGCAATATGTCAATGTAGAAAAGCTTTTTTGTCACTGTTCTTCGAACTGGACGGGCACATTTTGTGATATACCTGTTGATTGTAATGATTGTTCAAATGATTCAGCATGCGTAGGCTCATGGAACAATCGACCGATATGTGTATGCCCTAATAACAAAATCGGTCCACGTTGTCTCATACCATCTCTTCATCCAGCAGATAAGTGTTACAATAATGGTCAGTATGTATTACTCAACGACCATATCAACGATGACCGATACTTTTGCAACTGTTTCGATCGATTTTACGGCACTTTTTGTGAGCATGAAAAGAAGAAATTAGAGATTGTTTTCAGTAATATGGAAGTTCCATCATACATTCTGAGCTATATTATTTCTCTACGACCAGTCAATTCATGGGTTATTGCAACTGTCATCAAAAAATTAATTCACGATCAACACGTCGTTACATTATATAGTGAAGATTTCATTCATATGGCATTTATCAAACACTCATCTGATTATTATTTAGCTGTAGTACAGGATACATCTATGTATCATGAAAGTATCTTAACATCGATTACTCCTAATCAGCGTTGTTTACGTATCAATGAACTATTCAATTTGACTCTGTTAAGATTACCACGTATCCGACGCGTAAAATACTATCATCTACCATGTCAAACTCGTTTAGATTTGTGGTGCTTTTTCGATGAAATCTACATGTGTGTGTGTACATCAGACAATCATACGAATTGTATTAAATTCGATCATCAACTATCATATGCCTGCAAACACAACGATTTCTGTGACAATGGTGCATCATGTTTTCAAGATGATATCACTTGTCCGTCTGGTACTATATGCATCTGTACCGATTGTTATTTCGGTACGCGATGTCAGTTCTATGCTAAAGGTTTTGGTTTGACACTTGATGATATTCTCCGTTATGAACTTCGACGTAATTTCTCATTGTCTCAACAACGAGTGTCAATAAAAATGAGTGCTATAGTGACAATGTTCATGTTCGTGCTGGGCTTGGTCAATGGAATTTTATCCTATTTGACCTTTCGTCGAGAACGATCACAGCAAGTTGGGTGTGGCATGTACTTATTTGCATCATCGATCACTTCAATTCTTATTATGATCATATTTATAGTCAAATTCTGGTTTCTGATTCTATCACAAATCGATTTAATCATCAATCGAACGATTCTTCAGTTGGGCTGTAAGTTGATAGAATTTTTCCTGAAATTCTTCATATATACGGATAATTGGCTTTATGGATGTGTCGCAATCGAACGAGCTTAT